GTCTGGCAGGCTGAGGGGTGGATCGCTTGACGGTCGGAGTTGAACCAGCCTGGGAGCGAGACCCCGTCTCTACTATAAAATGAAAGAATTAATTGGAGCAATAATATTATATAGAAAAATTAGCCGGCATCGGTGAGTGCATGCCTGTAGTCCCAGGCTACTCGGGAGGCTGAGGCAGAGGATTGCTTGAGCCCAGGAGTTTGAGGTTGCTGTGAGCTAGGCTGACGCCACGGCACTCACTCTAGCCTGGTGAGAAGCAGGATGAAACTCTGTCTCAAAAAAAAAAAAAAAAAGAGTAATCAAGACAGTAAAGGAAAGTTTGTAATAGGAGAAAAGATTTGAAAATTTTAGATAGAAAAAAAAAAAAAGAGGGCCTATCTGTGGGGTTGAATATTTAACCTCATGCCTAAAAGTGAGAAAGCTATTATAAGGGAGGGGGCAGGCTGGGTGTGGGGGCTTCTTTTTCTAACAAGCCTGTCATCCTAGCACTTTGGAGGCTGTGCCAGTAGGATCATTGGGACCAGCGGGTTTCGAGAACGCATAGCAGCCTAGACCACATAGCAAACACCCTGTCTCTATAAAAAATTTAAAAACTTATAATGGCTCGGAAATGGTGACATGCACCTGTAGTCTAGTTACGTTGGGAGGGCTGAGGCAGGAGTCGCTGTAGCCCAGGGCAAGTTGTAGTTCAGTGGCTGGTGATCGTGCCCCACTGCACTCACAGTCTGGTGGAAACCCGTGTCTCAGAATTTTTATTTCATTCCTAGAAATATCTGTTTTTTCGATTTTTTGTTTTTTTTTTTTTTGTGTTTTTTTGTTTTATGGTTCTGTGTACCAAATATTATATCAGTCGTCCGTATTGTATTTAGTTCCGTTAGATGTCATTTCAAATAATCACTATGGATTATTAAAACGTGTATGGAGATCACATGTGGTGGCCAGGCTGGTGTTCCAGTGCTTTGAGGAGCTGGAGGGGCTGGGAGAGGCCGAGAAGTTTGGATGACCAGGCTCTGAGCGACATAGTGAGGACGCCTCTATCAAAAATTAGAATATAGCCAGCATGGGTGGTGGCGAGCCCTGTAACCTCTCTCCTAATCGGGTCTGCGGGGGAGGATATTTGGAGCCAGGAGTCTTGCAGGCTGGTAGGTGAGCTATGGTTATGCCACTTACACCCTCCTGAGTGACAGAAGCAGGCCCTGTTTCTTATAAATTCAATATATTATAATCTAGTCCATGATCTTGTTTATTTGTATTCAGTTGTGGAGATTGTATGATATAGGTATGTCTCTTATGTTGAAGTATCGATGGTGTGGCTTGGAGTGAAGTAAATTGATGTCATCTAAAGGTGTTATGTCATATAGGTATCTCTTGAATGCAGGAGGATGAACATGCTCTCGTGTTTTGGCATGGTGGTGCGAGCCTGTAATCCATCTAATCTGGAGTCTGAGGTGGGAGGATCATTTGAGCCCAGGAGTTTGAGGCTGTAGTGAGCTATGGTTATGCCACTACACCCTCCTGAGTGACAGAACAGGGCCCTGTCTCTTAAAAAAAATAAAACTATAATCAGTGCTATGAATGAAAGTACAGGGAACTTTAGTGGCATAGTGACAGGAGATGTTCTCTATTCTGGAAGTATCGGAGGAGTCTGCCTTGAGGAAGTAAAATTTGAGTCATCTAAAGGATGAGCAAAGGTTAACTCACTGAAGCAGAAATGAGAGCGGAAGGGAGCATGGCCTTTTGGTGATGTAAGAAACCAGTGTCAGTAAAGACACAGAGCCAGAGGGTAAGAAGGGCAAATTATGCACGACTCGGTATGCACGACTCGGTAGGCCACAATTAAGAATTGGCTCTTTACCCAAGAGCAAAGGGAAGACGGAAAGATTTTAAACAGAGGAGGGAACATACCAGATTCGCATTTTTAAAAGGGCATCTAGTTGCTGATTGGAAAATAGCTTGGGGGGAGGGAGGATGTAAGAATGGGGACCTGGGAGCCAGTAAGACTGTTATAAGGACTGGTCATGAGTCTAGAAAAGTAGGTCAAACTGGGTCACTGATAGTTGGACTTAGGTGATTATAAGGAAGACAGAAAAACGGATTGAAGAAATATTTAGGAGGTAAAATCAGCAAGAATTTGGCTGGGCATGGTGGCTCACACCTGTAATCCTAGCACTCTGGGAGGCTGAGGCGAGGGGATCACTCAAGGTCAGGAGTTCAAGACCAGCCTGAGCAACAAGAGTGGGACCCCCGTCTCTACTAAAGAATAAAAAGAGGCCAGGCGAGGTGGCTCACGCCTGTACTCCTAGCACTCTGGGAGGCTGAGGTGGGCAGATTGCTTGAGGTCAGGAGTTCGAAACCAGCCTGAGCAAGAACAAGACCCCGTCTCTACTATAAATAAGAAATTAATTGGCCAACTAATACATATAGAAAAAATTAGCCGGGCATGGTGGTGCATACCTGTAGTCCCAGCTACTCGGGAGGCTGAGGTAAAAGGATTGCTTGAGCCCAGGAGTTTGAGGTTGCTGTGAGCTAGGCTGACGCCACGGCACTCACTCTAGCCTGGTGAAACAGATGAAACTCTGTCTCAAAAAAAAAAAAAAAAAAAATTTCAGCCTCTAGATCCAGACTGTTGAAGTTCAAATCCAAGCATGCCAATTCTTAAATGTGTGACCTTGAGAAAGGTACTTGCACTCTGAGCCTCAGAGATAAAGTACAAACTTACCCATGTTGAGGTAAGGATTAAATCAAGTAATACAGGTATTGCTAAGAAAAATGCCTACATAGTAGCAGTCAATACATGTTTAACTCTTTACTTACATTCAAGTTCTAGTAATAGAGTTAAAATTGACTTAAATATTTTTCCCTGTTAGTGATAATGTTTAAACAGCAATTGCAAATGAATCTTTTTTGGACACTCCAAAGAGACCTTTTATCTAAACCCATTGTACTTTATGAATATCTCCCTTCAGTCTAGTTACTTCTCTCTCTGGTTCGATTGCGTGTTCATTCTCTCTTGCTTTCTCTCCATTGTATTTTTCTAGATTGAATCAGCAGAAGTCTCTGGAAACAGTGTGGTGTGCAGCTTTCTTCAGTACATGGAGAAGTCAAAACCTTGGCAGAAAGCTTGGTGTGTCATCCCCAAGCAAGACCCTCTTGTACTGTACATGTACGGCGCCCCTCAGGTACCTAAGCACGTGTGTTGGAGGGACCACGGCATGGGGGAGGGCGGGGTAAATTCAGTGAACTCAACATCCTTCCACTGCTCCCCTCTAGAACCGGAGGACTCAGGCAGTTGCACTGCATTTCGTTAAAAGTGAAACTAAAATTCAAATTTGTCGTTTAAGCTGATCAGTACATTTTATAGCTGATATTTTCTGCAACCTGTGGGTCATCTGTCCCCTTCTCATTCTCTAACCTTTTTAATTCAGTGGGTTTGAGGAGAAGGTGATTAAAGCAAGAGAGGAAAACAATATTTCATATCATTAAAAAGGTTTAAGACTTTTTGTTTGGTTTTGGCTTAATAGATGTTTGAGGAAGAGGGAATTGAAATCAATCTTGATTACTATTCAGTAACAGTTTTTTGGGAACCCCAGGTGTGTGGAGCATAGGTAAATCTATAGGAACAACAGATATGCAGGTATAGCATCTAACAAGAGCAGCACCAGGAAATGTGGATTGTGTTGTGCTTGAAGTGTATATTTTCAGGGTGAATGCATACTGGGTTTAAGTGTGACTTTTGTATTTTAATCTGTATTTACATTAAGGGCTAATAAAATTATTTTGGAAATACACTAAAAATGCCAAGGTATACATTTTATTCTATTTCATTGTTTTTCCTAAAACTTTTTCCCTGTCCATAAATCAATTGATGAATAAATGAATCACCAAATAAAACTGGCTTTGGTAGTGAAATCATCATTAATGCTTGCTGGTTGAAGGCAACAAGATAGCTATTATTGTCTTTCCTTTTTCACTGAATGGAGAGTTCTCTCACAGAAGGTGTAGTGTCAGTGAGTCCAACTTGGGTGTCAGCTGTCATTCATTCAGTCGACATTATCAGTGGCCTCACGGACAGGCCCTGGGCTAAGCACTGCAGTTCCTCTCTGCCCACGGAGAGCTCACCTGCGTGAGGCAGGAGGAGGAACAGAGCTTTATTAGGAACGAGGGCCACACGTAGCCAAACTAACACATCTCACGCTCTTATGTCCAATGGTTTCTCCTTAGGACGTCAGAGCCCAGGCCACCATTCCACTGCTGGGCTATGTTGTGGATGACATGCCACGGAGCGCAGACCTGCCCCACAGTTTCAAACTGACCCAGTCCAAGTCTGTGCACAGCTTTGCTGCAGACAGTGAGGAACTTAAGCAGAAGTGGCTGAAAATCATCTTTTTAGCTGTCACAGGTGAGACGCCAGAGGGTCTAAATGAGCATCCAGCCACCTTGGACGATCATCCTGAACCTAAGAGAAAATCAGAATGCTGAACTCCAGGACCAACCACGGTGTGGTGTCCAGACTTACAGCTCCAGACATTCCCAGCTCTCCCTACTCATATCTTAGCACTTTATGTTGAAAAAATAGGCTCATAAATGCATCTTTTGGGGACTATTTTCCTATGTTTATGTACTCTTAGTGAAATTAATGTGCAGAGCCATTCTACCGATAAAGTTTTGAAATGTGAAAAATTGAGCATTTTTTGAGCTATTCCTTGAATACATACTTTTGTCTTGAAGAAAATGTTATCAATTCATTCTGTCAGCATCAGGTTAGAGTGAGCACTTTCATTTAAGAAATCCTTTAAAGTCTTCTCTTTCACGTGTAGGACCTGTAACAGTTTAAAAGATATACCTCCATGTTGCCAAAATAGATCCATAGTGAAAAATACAGGGACAGTTTAGACTATAGTATTAACTTATTTAATTTAGTTTATAAATCTCAAGCTGCATAAATGGTGTCTGTTCTTTTTAAAAGAAAGAAAAAAGACCAATTGTTGGTGTTCAGATTTTTGACTTATTCAAAAAAGGTAATACTTGTTTTTGTAGAAATACTCTTAAGAATACAATATCTTAAGTATATAGCAATTATGTGTATATAGTATCAAATATATATATACTATCCATGCTTTTCTCCTCAGCTTTAGGCTCACATTCATCTCTAATTTATTTTATAAATATAAAGCATGGTTTATCTTTGAAGTGAGCAGTGTTCTAAGCTTAAGAAATGTTTTTGGTGATTTGTTTAACTGATTGGCATCTAAGGGTATTGGTATTTTTATGATAGGCAGTAATTTATATGGCATGGGATATATTTGTGAATTCCAACAGTACTTTTAACATACCTTTTTTTTTGTTCTGTGCCTATTTAAAACAGTGCCTCTCTTAGAAGGTGCTATTAATACCTATTTAAATATGAGGGTTCAGTTAATGCTTCAGTTCTGATTATTCTGAGATTAAACTGCATTTTTGGTCACTGGGACGGTCAAAGTCATAGGTTATTTTACCTTTTACAGTGCTATAATTGTTGCAGTAGTTAACATCAGCATGTACAAAAATTTTCACCAAAACCCGAACTCTGTGAGACACTTGACATTACACAGAACTGGGACGTGTGGAAACTACATTTATTGTAATGATTTTCTTTTCCGTAAGATGATCAAGCATGGTTACATGAGGACTATATATAATGAATACTTAGGATAACTGTGTGGGCTATTCCTTTGTCAGAAATGAAACAGAATTTACACATGATAACCTGTGTTTGGGGTGGCAGGGTGTGGTCAGTAGACATTGAAGTTTGTGCTCAACCACCTCACCATAGAAGGGAAAAACATAATATTGAAAAATCAATATTTTAATGGAAGTTTTTCGAGACGTACAGATGACTGAAAAAAGTCTGAGAATTTTTTCCCTTTTATCCTCTTGGGAATTTTAATAGACAAATTATGATTTTTGTCATGAAGGCTGCTCTACAATATATTGTACTTGTGATTAAAATCTCACATTAATTTGACTGTTTAACTTAATCCTTCTCTCAAATTTTACCTTTTTAATTTCCTTTCCACTGTCATACCCCATACATTCTCACTTTTTACTGTACCAGTCTGCCAGAAATATACAAGAATGACCCCCACTCACCTCTCAGTCTGTAAGGATTACACCTTAAATGCAGAACAGAATTTGAGACTACCACACATTTATTCCAGCCCTGTTACTTTAAGAAGTATCTTATTTTTTTCCACCCCAAAGAAAGAAGTGAACCAGTTATTGCTGACATAATTAAGTTCCCTTCCTCCATAAAAGGAATACCAGCCATGATCATTAACATTAAACCAAATACTTGGAGCCAAAAAGAGATAAAGGTAGCTACTTAGGCCCTATTAAATCAGGGAACAGACTAAAAGAAATTTTACATTGCTTCTCTTATCTAATTGCCCACCTTGTGTGTGTGATATGTGTTGAGAGTTGTTATATTAAGAAAGTTAAAATATAGCCATAGATGATGCTTTGGTTTTCTTAAGAGAAGTAATAGGAATCTAGAATGATTACCAGGGGAAGATGACTTTTGTAAATGTGGATAGAACAATGGAAATGTATGGACCAATGAGAAGATATATGAGTCAGATTATTTTTGAAAACTATTTTGAACAGCAGGAAAACTAGACTTTCCCTACCCTTAAGCTCTTCTGGAATGGAAGTAATATGAACACTCAATTTTTGGCTCAATAAATAGCAATGTTATTTAACTTAATTAAAAGAATATCATACGCTTAATCATTATCTTTAATGTTTTAAATGAGAAACATTAGTACTAGAAGAGAATGTCTGCTTATCCAATCACCATCTTCACTTTCCACCCCACCTTCAGCTAAACACAAAGAGAAGCAATGAAACAGCCTTACCTGTTTCTCTTATTAAAGAGTCACTAATGCTTTTATACTTGATGAAAGGTAAAGGAATACTCTTAGCATTAAACAACTCAACTAAAAGACCTCAACGTGTGATTGGTTATAAAAATAATCAACGTCTTTTCCTTTGAGACACCTGAGCAGTCAAGACAAATTGAACCTAAAACAAACCTCATTGGTTGCTTTCCTATTAAAACCAACATTCTGTGGAAGTTTTAATGCTTTATTTTCTCTCATTTGGTGCTTTCCAAGTCATCTTTTCTTTAAAGTGCCCTTCCTCCAAACTTAAAAAATACTCATTTGGCAAAGTTGCTATTCATCACAAAACATTTCCAGTTCTTAAACTTAAATTTTGCTTTTGTTGAAAGTCTACCACTTGGTGTGTTAAGTATAAAATGCAGTGCAGACTTTTATCTTGGTTTTAAGCGGGGCTTAATGAAAACCACCACCAGCCACTTTTGTAATAACGGCATCTACAGTGCCATCATGTATGCAAGCAATAAAACTCTTCAGGGTATGGTTTTATACTGAAAATTTAATATGAAGGCCCCCAGCCACAAGGATATAGAGAGTTATTAACTTCCTAGATATGACACTGTAATTCAGATTGCTCAGTACAGGGAAAGGGAAGTGGGTAGGGGGCATCATTCCTTGAGTTCAAACATCAAAAGCATTTTTATTTTCACAAAGGGTGTGGATAGTGAAACAGTTAAAGCACATCTGCACTACTTTATCAAGCTCCATTTTGTTTTCCATGAAGTTTCATTCAATATACACGTTGGTGTATTTATCTAATTCACTGGGTGACCTACCCCAATTTTTTTTAAAAATACCAATTTTTTTTAAATTACCAAACTTTTTACAGGAACTGACCTTTTTAAATGTATTCTGTTCCCATATACATTTGGGGTTTTTAAAAAGAGCACTTGTGCTAGTCACAAATGTATAAAGAAAACTATACACTTCATGTTACTACAGGGTTGTTAAAGATTCTTTGATGCCTTCTAAAAAACCTATCGAAAATTCTTCTGTGAGTTCATGATTTTGTTTTACTTTTTCTTATCCTGACTTTGTGGAAACAGGGTGGTTGCTTGTTTTTTCTGACTATATTCAAAGCCTTAAGTTCTTATTCTGAGCATATTGTCTGTGGTAAATCTCTGATGATCTTTCTGGACTAGATATATCTTGAACAAGTACCAACAGAAGTAAATAAACTTCTAGAGAATAAGGTCTTGTTTTTTTGCAGGTATCCTTGCTAGAATGCAGAGTAGATTAAAATTTCCTACATCATGTGATGTTCATGTTAGCAGGTCTAAGATTAAGCACATGGTATTTATAAGCTAAAATTAATTCAAAAGGCAAGAATGTCTTAACGTTTTCATTCTTAAATTTTGTATTCTCCAAGAATGTATTAATATAAGGACTGGCCAGCCAGTTCCTATTCTTAGGACTGTATTGACATCTGTAGTGGATCATGTTGCTTCTTCATTCTTACCAGTTTTATTAGAATCAAACTACTTTTTATTTTCATACTATTATCTACTATAGATTCTCAGATTTTAGAAAATATGAATGATATATAAAGACCAGAATGTCTACTTAAAAAATGCTTTCTGTGAATTTATATATGTATGTATATATGTAAAAACACTGTTGATTTTCAATTCTGCCTTTCCATAGGAATGAAATTTTTCTATAAAAATTTTTAACTTAAATATTTTAACATAAATTATTTACATGAAGTTTATGTATAATTCATCCTTATATATGCCCTTTAATCATTTGGTCATTAGAAGATAACTACTTTCTTTACAGTTAGGGTAGACAGGAATAAGATTAGAAACTGAAACAAGAATGAACGAACAGGCCAGGCGTAGTGGCTCACATCTGTAATCCCAGCACTTGGGGAGGCTGAGGTGGGAGGATCATTTGAGGCCGGGATTTTGAGACCAGCCTGGGCAATTTAGTGAGACCCTATCTCTACAAAAAAATTAAAATATTAGCTAGGTGTGGTGTTGTGCACCTGTAGTCCTAGCTGCTGGTAAGGCTGAGATGAGAGGATCACTTGGGCTCTGGAGTTTGAGGTTACAGTGAGCTATGATCATACCACTGCACTCCAGCCTGGGTGACAGAATGGTTCTGTCTCTTAAAAAAAAAAAAAAATGAACAGAGATGTAGACAAAAAGAGACTGCTGGTCCCCAGATCAGAGCATTATATTTTAAGAGGAAAATACTTAAAACTGCAGAAGGGAAACAAACTATAAAATACAAATCTATGTAATTGCATGCTGATGGGATCCATTGCACACAGGCTTTTGACCTTGGCCTCTTAAATTATAGAGTACAGTATCTTTTTTCTCCTTTGGACTTTTAAGAAACAATTCTCTTAGGCCATTTCTTACACTGTTTACTGAAGAAAAAAAAAAAATTCCCTCTAATGTCAGTCATGGTCTTCTACTTTCCAGACTGAGCATATGGCAGAATGCAGCGTCTTTTTCTATGTTCTGAGATGAAATAGCACATGGCTTCTACAAGATAGTTTTTAACTTGTTGGGGTCACTGAGAGTACATGATGCTCACCCCTTTTCCTAAAATTCATTGTGGTAGGTTTAGTGGAAAGTTAAATCTCCTAGCGGTATTTTAATAAGTGAATACCAAATACATAGTGAAATATAGGTTTGGGAAGAAATAGTCTGCGGAGACCATTTGATAGCAGAATTACATTATCTATTATACAATACATGGATTTTGGAATGTATCACTTGGGGGAGGGGGGTCTCTTCATTAGCAAAACAATCATGCCTGTATATAAGACTTTTTTTTTTTTTTAACCAAACTAGCACTTGATTTTGTGAGTGACAATTGACTGATATTATAAAGTAAGTGTTACCTGGATTTTTCTTTCGAATTGTTGATTGATAAATTTGAAAAGGTATGTTATCAGAATTTTATGGTTGACTAAAATGTGAAAGTGTACACCATAATTGTTCTTTTCTAGCTGTATGAATGTATAATACTTGCAGATAGTGTATATATGGTGTAACATATGTATATTTGGTCATAAAGGCAGAGAATTGGAAACATTGTAAAATTAAGCACTTTAATTCCTATTAAATATTAAACATTTGTATCTTGTAAATAAACACATCCTTAAATCAATTCCAAAGCTTTAGATGTTATTTCAGCTAGGATTATACATGTTCTGTTCACAATGTTTTTAGTTGTCTTTTCCCTAAGGAAAAAATTACACCAGTAGGGTACCCCTGCACCTTCTTGACTCTACCTCCCCACCAAAAAATCTGCTTAAGTGTTTCAAGAATAAAGCTCGGGCCGGGTGTGGTGGCTCACACTGTAATCCTAGCACTCTGGGAGGCCGAGGCGGGCGGATTGCTGAGGTCAGGAGTTCAAAACCGGCCTGAGCGAGACCCCGTCTCTACTAAAAATAGAAAAATTAATTGACCAACTAAAAATATATATACAAAAAATTAGCTGGGCATGGTGGTGCATGCCTGTAG